TTTGTCTCTCCCTCTTCTCTATTCATCTCTCTTCTATTCTTTTCTTTGCTATTCCATTGAAATTGGATTCCTGTTATCTCTCCCCTCTCCTTCTCTCTCGCTCCTCTTCTCCTGTTCCCCTCTAAATGACAAAAAACACAAGAAAGGAAGAACAAGAGGGGCATGTGTTGCAATAAAGCAGGAAGGGAATTGAAGAGCTCCTCTCGCTACTTTCTCATGCCCTTTCCTTTCTATCTACCACAATCTACCACACCAAAACACGACTCTCAGCTTCCAAATATACTTCATCATGGGGAGAAGGGACATACTTCATCACAGACTTGGCCCACAGGGAGAGGGGATATACTTCATCACGCTGCTGGGGGGCTGGATCACAAACATGGCCCACGGGGCGAGGGGACATACTTCAGCCACAAAGAGAGGGAACCTACTTCATCACGCTGGTGGGAGGCTGGATCACAGACCTGGCCTACGGGGAGAGGGGACATGCTTCATCACAAATTTGGCCCACGGGGAGAGGGGACATACTTCATCACAAATTTGGCCCGCGGGGAGAAGGGACATACTTCATCACAGACTTGGCTCACAGGAGGCGCCAAAATAATCTAAATAATCTAATTATTCAAACCCATTGGTTCCTCTGGAAACCCAACCATTTAAATAATTTAAAGAATTTAATTATTCAAATACCTGGATTTAAATATTTTAGTTCTGGGGCGTCCCATCAAAAGGGAATAGGGAGAGACAAGGGAGAGATGATATATATAGAGCTTTGCGCTTTATTTTGTCACTCCGTCTCCTTGCTTCCTGTCTCTTCTCTTCTTTCCAGCACCCTTCCAGAAAAATGGCATCCTTGTTCTCTCTCCTCTCTCACTTCCCTTTCCCTTCTCTCTTTCTGTTACTTTTTGACTGATGAACAACAAGAAAGGAACTTGCAGGATAAAACAGTGGCAGGGTAAGCAGAGGTTGCGCGTGGACCTTGCCGTACTTCATCATATCCCTCTTCTCGGCCTATCTCTTCTGCTCCTTTCCTTACTCTTCTCCTTTTCATAATTATTCCTCTTTAGTTGTTCTTATCTGGAAAAGAAAGAGGGAAGGGAGAGATAAGGGAGGGAGGATAGATAAAGAAGAGCGCCATCTTCTCTGCGCCTTGTTTTGTCTCTCCCTCTTCTCTATTCATCTCTCTTCTATTCTTTTCTTTGCTGTTCTATTGAAATTGGATTCCCTGTATCTCTCCTCTGTCCTTCTCTCTCGCTCCTCTTCTCCTGTTCCCCTCTAAACGATTGCTCTTTACAGATAGGTGCCCTCCCTCCTCTTCAGGAAATCTCTTTTCGCTTATTTTGCTTTTTGAAGCGAATAAAACAACGGATAAGAGAGGAAAGGGAATGACTAAGTAAAGACAGGAGCTCTTCAATAGGTGCCCTCCCTCCTCTTCAGGAAATCTCTTTTCCCTTATTTTGCTTTTTGAAGCGAAGAAAACAACAGATAAGAAGAGAGGAAAGGGAATGACTAAGTAAAGAGAGGAGCTCTTCAATTTCCCTCCCTATATCTGATGTTACGTTTCCTTCTTGGGCGGTGCCCTTCTTTCTCCCTTGAAGATGCAGAAAACGATCAGGAAGGACACCCGTTCCATCGCCCATATATAGACAGAGATAAATCATGAGCATCAGCTGGGTTTGCTGCCGATCCAAAATGGGCGTCCCTTTTAATCGCTTTCTGTGTCTTGAAACAAGCAAAAGGGGCACCCTTACTAAGTGTTTTCTTGTGGTGTCACTTTTCTTCGCTTGAAGATGCAGAAAACGATCCAAAAAGGACACCCGTTCCATCGCCCATGTGTGGGGAGAGAGATAAATCATGAGCATCAGCTGGGTTTGCTGCCAATCCAAAATGGGCGCCCCTTTTAATCGCTTGCTGTGTCTTCAAACGAGCAAAAGGGACACCCTAAGTGTTTTCTTGTGGTGCCCTTTTCTTCGCTTGAAGATGCAGAACACGATCTTAAAGGACACCTGTTCCATCGCCCATATATAGGGAGAGAGAGAGAGAGAGAGAGAAATCATGAGCATCAGCTGGGTTGGCTGCCAATCCAAAACGGGCGTCCCTTTTAATCGCTTTCGGTGTCTTCAAACGAGCAAAAGGGACACCCTAAGTGCTTTCTTGTGGGGTGTCCCTTTTCCTCGCTTGAAGATGCAGAAAACGATCAACAAGGACACCCATTCCATCGCCCATATATATATATATAGAGAGAGAGAGAGAAACAAAATCATGAGCATCAGCTGGGTTGGCTGCCAATCCAAAATGGACGTCCCTTTTAATCGCTTTCTGTGTCTTCAAACGAACAAAAGAAAACACTTAGGTTCCTCACTTGAAGATGCAGGAAACGGCCCAACAAGGACACCCGTTCCATCGCCCATATATGAGAGAGAGAGAGAGGGAGAAAGGAAAAAATCATGAGCATCAGCTGGGTTTGCTTACATGTTCATTGTTATTCCTTTTGTTTTTTCTAACGGAAATGAACAAGAGAAGAGAAAAATAAGAACCAGAGGAAAGATGAAAACGAGCACCATCTTCTCTTTGCCTGATTTTTGCATTTCGCCGGTCCTCATTTCTCTTCCATTCTTTTCATTGCTCTTCCATTTAGAGTTGCATTCCTGTTGATCTCTCCTCTCTCCTTTCTCTCTCCCTTCTCTTCTCTTGTTCTCCTTTAAATCTCAAAAACACACAGTGAGGAAGACAAGCTTCGAGGCGCTGGAGCCGTGCCGTTTTCAGGCATCGGCTTGGTCAACGAGTTGCTATTTGTTGTCCGCAAAGTTAGTGTCTTAAGATTGTTCACCGATTGTTGTATGATGGTCACTGATTATCCGAGAAGTTTTCGCGGGTCTTTTGCAATGGGTGCTGTCGTTGCTTTTTTTTGTTGGCTCCTTCTCGGCGGGGCAGTGGCTTCTGCGGTCATGGGAGTGTCCGTGGCGGAGGTGGACTGTAGCGGGTTGTGCGGCTGCATGATTCCAATGCTTGCGGTAAAGGCATGTGTCTCAAGGTGATTTTCTGCGGGAGTGTTTTCTGCACGAGACGGTTCAGGGCACTGCAGGACTCGCGTCCACTTCAGTTTGTGAAGAAGAGTACGAAGTTCGACAGATTGTCGAACCGACGTCTGTACGCGTTGAATGATAATGTAGATGTCTTGAAAGAGTTAGGGCATCTTCATGAGAAGAAGCCTCTTTCAGTAGCAGTGATCTTTGCCGACGCACACCAAGCAACAATTGTGCACGACAGCTGGCGAGACTTGGCGTCGGCCGCAGCAGTTTCCCGAGTCAGGAAGACAAGCTACGAGGCGCCGCAGCCGTGCCGTCTTCAGGCATCGGCTTGGTCGACCAGTTGCTATTGGTTGCCCGCAAAAATAGTGTCTTAAGATTGTTCACCGATTGTTGTATGATGGTCACTGATTACGCGAGACGTTTTCGCAGGTCTTTTGCAATGGGTGCCGTCGTTGCTTTTTTTTGGTCGGCTCCTTATCGGCGGGGCAGTGGCTTCTGCGGTCATGGGTGCGTCCGTGGCGGAGGTGGACTGTAGCGGATTGTGCGGTTGTATGATTCCAATGCTTGCGGTAAAGGCAGTGATTTTCTGCGGGGGTGTTTTCTGCACGAGACGGTTCAGGGCACTGCAGTACTCGCGTCCACTTCAGTTTGTGAAGAAGAGTACGAAGTTTTACAGGTTGTCGAACCGACGTCTGTACGCGTTGAATGATAATGTAGATGTCTTGAAAGAGTTAGGGCATCTTCATGAGAAGATGCCTCTTTCAGTAGCAGTGATCTTTGCCGATCCACACCAAGCAACAATTGGGCACGACAGCTGACAGGACACTTCAATGTGCGCACAACGGTGCGCAGCCCGACCCGAGAGACCGCTTGGATCATCCCCCACGCAAGAGCAGAAGTGATAGCTAGTATTCGTTGCCAACATCTGACTGCGTCTGTACGTTCACATCAAAAAAGAGTAAATTATAAATCGTAAACCCTAAACCCTAAGAGAACGAAATTGGTGAATTTGTGCTTCAGGTTTCTTGGATTTAGTTTGTTTATAGGTTTTTAAATACAAAACAAGAGAGAACGTCAAATAATACATAAAGGTCCATGCCACATATATATATATATACACATATACACACACATATATATATATATAAGTATATATACATATATATATATTTATATTTATATTTATATCTTTATGTATTTATTGATTATTTTTGCGACTCTGAGTTCACGTTGAGTTCAAGATCCTAGCTCCGTCATGCGCCGTGCTGAGAGCCAGGGAAGTCAGTACGGAGGCTTGTGAGTGTGTAAGTTCGGGGCCTTTCTTTGCTGGAGTCTGGATTTCAGGCCTTTGGGGCTGCTGCTGATGTGCAGGGCTTTGGGTTTTTTCTGGCGGAACTTTCTCACCTAGGCTGTGCTTTGGGATAGATCGTGTTTAATTTCCCTTCTCTCCCTTTGAAGGGAACCTAATCATCAATGAATTTCAAAGGGCTTTAACCCCAAGGCTCCAAATAGCCCAAAGTAGGTTATTTACGGACTTTAGACCCCAATGTAGGTATTATTCGTATACTTGGAGCCCTAGGGCAAAGCCCACCCAGTTACGAGACCTGTAAACCTCGAAACGATGGACCCCGGGCTTGGTCTCGAAGGGGCTAGGGCTTCAGGAGTTTGTCGGACCCAAGGTTTAAGGTTTAGGGTTTAGGGTTTAGGGTTTGGGGCAGCCTTTGGGGAGGCAAGGGCGGGGGAGCTGGGGAGGTTCACCCCCTTCGAAACTCCCTTAAGCCTCTCGAAAACAAGCCCCCCCCCCTCCCTCCCCCGCCCCCTAAGAACTACTATTTGCTTAAGAACACCAAAAGAACAAAAATGATAATCCCTATGTCTTTTTTTCCCTTTGTAGAGAAGAATATCTTCATGTTTTCGGGGTTCTTAATTTCTTAAGCAGATAGCAGAGAATGATCATAAGTGTCAGAGGAGATCGCCAAAGAAGCGATTGGCCCGTGTCTCAGTTAGACGCTGGCGCCATGGGTGATCTGGTTAAAGTGCCGAATCTTCCGAGGGTTCGGGGATATTTCGGGTTTAGGGTTTAGGACTTAGGGTTTAGGGTTCGGGTTTTCGGGGTGTGTGGATGTCTGGAAACCAGGTCTTGGGCTTGGAGTGTTTGGACTCGGCGTCCGTCTGGGAGAGCGCAGCGGGGGGTTCTTCAAGCCTGAAATTGGGGGGGGGGGGGGGGTTACGAACATAAGGTGGGTTTAGGGTTTCGGGTTTAGGGTTTAGGGTTTGGGGTTTAGGGTTTAGGACCCCTAATATAGACCCCAAATAGTAGCAGCAGGGTTTAGGACCCCTGCAAAAGACCCCCAAATAGTAGCATTAGGATTCCCTTAGGAAGGACCAAGAAGGTACCCCGAATTGCGGAAAACCCCAAAATGCTGGAGAAAACAAAAGCACATATAGCCGATGCCTCAAGGTAAAAAACCTAAGGTAACTAGGGTAACTAGGGTTTATCAGCCTATCAGGAAAAAGCCTTCTTTGTTTAGGGTCAAAGTTCGCGTAGAAACCCCAATCCACCCACCCTTAGCAACCGTGCCCTAAACTTAAACCCTCTCAACCCTAAACCCCCAGTGGCTTGCCAGTTCAAGGCCCATGGTTTGCTTTGCTGGTCGAGGCAGGTGCACGCAAGACGCAAGCATCCAGGGGTTTAGGTTTTAGGTTTTAGGTTTTAGGGTCAAGTGAGTTGACTTTCAGCACAAAGGTTCTGAAGCTTTTGAAGATTCATGGCCAACAAACAGTTTGGGGGAGCACCTCGAACCTTCACAAGCTAGGGTTCGTGTCATGAACACCAGGCTTATGTGAGCGCCAGGGTTAAGGGTTTAGGTTGAAATCTGAGCAAGGCGTGTTGGCTTGAGGGCCTTTGGCTTGACTTAGTTGGAGCAAACCCGATGCACTCTCCTGGCAGGTGAATATCGTGTTGTTTTGCTTCGGCACTGCCGTCGCCTACATGATCACCGTTGGCCAGGTTTCCCATCAGGCCTTACACGCGTGGAGATCATCCCCGGATTCACGAGAATCGCTTCTAAGGATTATAGTACCCCCCCTATTATAAGCCCTTCTAAGGACCTTAATAGGGATAGTACCCCCCCCCTATTATAATCCCTACTAAATGGGTGGAGATGGATCTTTGTATTACAACGGCTGCTCATGCTGCCGTCCCGGCCGATGCCCTTCGACCCCCCCAAAAACCAGATGAAGTCCATCATCCAAAAACCCTCCGCTTCAAAGCCTCAACACATGAACGCACTCGTGCAGGGGGCGCAACAGAACAGAGTGCGCAGGGACACTAGCAACGAGGTGCATTTAGATACAGTGACTGTTCTGTTCTGCATTCTTATTCTTGAGAGGTCTCACCAAGGCCAGAGGAGGAAATGGCCCGAAACCAAGATCCATAACCCCCCCCATCCACCCCCAATCTTTGCCGACCGCCCCCTACACCCTAAACCCTAAACCCTAAACCCTAAACCCTAAACCCTAAACCCTAAACCCTAAACCCTAAACCCTAAACCCTAAACCCTAAACCCTAAACCCTGTCCCAGCGTCTCCTACCACCCGGAGGTACTCGATGCAACCTTCGGCGACGCCGAGCCAGGGTCATGGCTCAGCTCCTTGCTCCGGGTTTCCGCTTTCGAGTTTACTACTATTTGGCAAAATAAATAAATAAAATGAAAAAACATCTTTTTTATTAAGGGTAATATAGGGATTATTGCTGTTTTTTTTATTTATCTTTCTCGAGTTCTTCAGCAAGAGTAGTTTAGGGTTGCCTTGATCAAGTAATGGTGGACAAGCCCGATCTTCATATCCCCATCAGTATACAATGACTAAACGTATGGTGGGTTTATGAAATCATCATATTGGTTTAAAAGGTATTTTGACAATGTGACAATGTATATTGTATGTCACTACAAAAGACAGCAGTCGTATTTGAATCGTGTGTATGAAAATTTATACGAGCTGCTATGTACGTTTGCTTGAACAGCGTAAACAGAACAGCACGGGGAATGTTAAGGGTGTATGTGTATGTGTATATAGGTTACTACTACAGGCAAGCTTCTCCCGGACAGCGAGCGCTTGGAGGTTTAAGTTTAAGGGCATGCCGAGACACTCCGCCCATCACTGCCAGTGCACTGCGATGCCATGTACTTCTGGGTTATCCTCCAATGATGGGCTTGCAGGTTCATTGCCGTCATATCACCGTATTATGTAGGTCCAGGGTTTAGTGTTTAGGGTTTAGGATTTACGGTTTAAGGTACCTCAACTTAACTCAACCGAATCAAGGGTATTGCGAGATCAGGTTCCTTGACGCAGTCGAATACCGTGCTGCTTTGGACCACTGCGTTCGTGCTCCTGCCGCTGTCACTTCTTGACAGTGCCCTGGCCAAAACCCTAAGCCCTAAACCCTACACCCTAAGCCCTAAACCCTAAACCCTAAACCCTAAACCCTAAACCCTAAACCAAACCCTATACCCTAAGCCCTAAGTTGAGTAATGGCAGGGCGCAGGGAGCAGGATGGTTTAGGCTGAGAATCTCTCAGGGGGGGGTATATACGGATGTATGGTTTAGTTAGGGGCTTCCGGGGCTTTGTGGGATCAAAAGCGTTTCGGCTTCCAGGCCCACGGAAGATATACAGTGACTGAATCCATCACCAAGTCGATGTCGATGCTTCGCTATGCAGTCCTCGAATTTGGCAAGCATCAAACCCCAAACCCCTAAACCCTAGACCCTAAACCCTAAACCCTAAACCCTAAACCCTCACCCGCTGCTGCTGCGCAGCAGGAAACAAGACAGAAGCGAGGTTCCAAGCAAAGACAACAGGAGTCGTGAGCATGTCCAGTCTCATCCTCGCATAGCTAAACCCTATCTGGCTTCCTCAAATTGGGTTTAGGGCTTAGGGTTTAGGGTTTAGGGTTTAGGGTTTTAGGGTATTCTGCTTAGAAGTTCCTTGTCCAGCCAACCTGGTCATGCCAGTGCAGGCAGCTCTGGAGAAGAGCTGCTCTTGGGCTTGTGCTAGAGGAGGTTCCAACTTAGCCGTCCCAAACTGTTTAGGGTTTCGGGTTTAGGTTTCAAGCCTCGACTTGCGATGCTTTCCCAGGCATCAACGACCTACGCTTTGCCTCGCTTGCTGGCGTCTCTTGCATCCTGCCACTTGAGCAGCACACGAGCAGAAATGGCCAGATTCAGAGCCAGCGCAGCTTCCGAGGTACCTCATCTTGGTCGTGCTCTACGTATTCGCGAAGCAGAGCGTGAGTCCCACGTCACCTCATTGCACTCAGGATTTCGGCATGCGAGCGGCGCCAAAAACCTTCCATGAAAGAATTAGATTGAGGGTTCGCCTTTGATTGGCCCGTAAGCTAAAGTCCGAGGCGCGCCAGTGCGCGATAGTTTCTGCGAGAGAGCTCTGGTTACGAGAGCGCGCGATAGCGCGCGACAGGGTAGGTGTTGGTTGCAAAACATGTCTCTGACTGCAGGTCTTGTCGGTATATTAGGGTTCAGGCTATTCTGAAGGTTTGGGGTCTTGTGTTGGCTTCCCGCGTTAGTCCGCGTCAGTGCAACCCCAAAAAGCACGTGCGCGTCAGCGCGCGATGCGGCCTGCAGCAGGCCGCGTCAGAGCCCGCGAGAACCCTTCCATAGTCGAATGAAAAGTTCAAAGGGTTTTCGCCACTGCTCATGTGTGGTGGAAACCCAAACCCCAAGCCTAGCATAAAATCTGGCGCCGCAGAGTTGCTGGGTAGGCCCTTGGGATATTTTATGACTTCCTTTATTCATGACTCCGCTCACCGCTCTCCTCGGGTTCTTCCAAATATAATCTTGACAGGCACGAGGAATTACGCTGTTTGGGATGCTGTTGATCACACTGACCCAAACTGGCTGTAGGGTTTTTCCGAGCTGAGGGCAGGGCAACAGTGGCCCGAACCTCTCCTGTGGCCATATGAGGGTTTCCGAAAATAGGAGTACCCTGTTTCGGGGGCCCTTTAAGGGGTTCTATTCTCTTTGGGGTATGAATGGGGGTACCCCTGTTTTCGGAAACCCCCATATCCTAAACCCTAAACCCTAAACCCTAAACCCTAAACCCTAAACCCGAAACCCTAAACCCTAAACCCTAAACCCTAAACCCTAAACCCTAAACCCTAAACCCTAAACCCTAAACCCTAAACCCTAAACCCTAAACCCTAAACCCTAAACCCGAACCCTAACCCTAAACCCTAACCCTAACCTTAAAACCCTAAACCCCAAACCCTAAACCCTAAACCCTACAGCCCTGGCCCAGGCTGGGTGACGTGGACAGCTTCACCGCCTTGCAGCCAAAGGGAGGCATCACCGGCGCCTTGGAGCAAAAAAGCGTGAGAGTATGAGGGTTAGGGTTTAGGGTTTAGGGTTTAGGGTTAAGGGTATAGCATAGATCATGTATTCATAGAGCATTATCAGAATATAAAGTTGTCAGAGAACAATTAGTAACATGAAGAAATGTAAGCAGAATTGGGGGTTTCAAGCATGGCTTTTCATTGGCCCAGAGGATGCTACGCTAGGCTTCATACAAAGCACCTCGGAGGGCATTCCGGGTAGAGGTCACAGGGGAATGTATCTTTCATAATTTCCACAAATTAGCCCCACCACAACATGCGGGAGTTCCTATGCACCGGTTGAATGTCCCTGATATCCCCCTTAGACTAGCAGTCCAAAGAATAGGGTTTATGGTACCCCCTACCATAATCCCTATTCAGGACTGTTAGTATAAGGGGGGACCTTTTCAACCTAGACCCCAAGCCCTCTAACCAATCGAGGCTGCTTTAAGATGCTGTCGCTCTCGATTTTCGCATTCTGCTGCCAGCCCTAGGCTCAGTTGGCGTTTAGGGTTTAGGATTTAGGGTTTAGGGTTTAGGGTTTAGGGTTTCAGTTGCACTTGGAGCAACAATGAACGCGGCGATGAACCATGAGTGAGTGCTGCGGGCTTCGGGAATGTTAAGGAGTTTCCAGGCTCCGGGTTCGGCTTGGGGTGATTGTGGCATTAATGGTTTCTCAACGGCTTTCGAATTCTGAAAGACAAGTTTCAAAAGATTACCCAATCGGTGATTGCTCTTTTGGGGAATCCCACGTTGAGAGTGAAGCGCATAAAATCGCTGTGACCCGCGGTGCCAGCCGCGGACACACGGGTGGTGAAGGTTTGCTGTTAGCCATTTCGTAGAATTGAGCTGTTGAGGAGTCGTGGCTCGGACCGAGGTAAAAGAGCGGCTCTAGCCAGGATGAAGTGCCAAGGGTTTAGGGTTTAGGGTTTAGGGTTTAGGGTTTAGGGTTTAGGATGAAGTGCCATGACCTTTTGAAACCCTCTCCAAGCTCTTGCTCCAGGCCAAATGTTCCATCCATTTACACCGAGCAGCGGGCTCGGTTGCGGGCATCATCTGAACCCAACAAACGACCCCTAAACCCTAAACCCTAAACCCTAAACCCTAAACCCTAAACCCCCAAATCAGACATGTGGTGAGAAAGGAAATCATTTCCTTCAAGACCGTTGAGGCTTGTTTAAGGTCCCATCCCTTCCAAGAGTTTCGGTGACCCACATGACTTGCAGCCACTCTCGGAGAGAAAGAGAGAGAGAGAGAGAGAGAGAGAGCGAGAGCGTCGCGCAGTTGCAATTATTAATGCATGTTGACGCTGTAGCTGTCGATGCAAAGACGGCGCTGCGCTGAGTCACTGGTCCCTGAACATTATCGTTCTCTCTGAAAGCAAAGTTCTTGTGCATGTGATGTTGTCTGCAGCTCGTTCTGTGCAGCTTCGCTTCTCAAAGGGGGTCAGGCGATTGTAGAGGTATAGAGGTCGCAGTGGAGTTTCAGGGTTACCGTTTGGGTTCACTGGATGTAGCTTAGGGTTGTACAGGCCTTCACTAATCTAGAGAGTATCCGTGTTAGGGCTCTCTGACAGAGTTGCGGGGTTTGCCTCAGAAGAAGGGCGGCATGGTGGTGGTGGACAGGCAGTGCATCTTCTTCAACTACAAGTCGACCAAGGGCAGAGACTTCGGTCTCTCCCTGGCGACAGAGCTATTTTGTGTGGCATTCTTTCAGCTCGCTATGCATTGTGGCTCGCACGAGTTCGCGCCAATTCTGCAAGGATTTGCTCTTGCGGTGCTGATCTTCATCGCTGGGCATGTGTCAGGTGGCCACCTGAACCCATTAATTAGTTTGAGCACAGCTGTGCTGGGATATCATCCCCTTCTGCACAGCCTGATGTATAGCATAATGCAATGCTTGGGAGCAATCCTCGGTTGTCTCTTTGTCATAGTTGGGTAACATTTTTCATTTTTAAGGGTACTTAATGAACCGATTTTTTCAGTATTATCCCAACAATGAACTAGGTCTTGCTGCAGGGACTCTCTTGCCAGACGGTGAGAAGTACTTGCTTGCCGGCAATGGTGGGCCGGGATGCCTGGATCGGTCGACCATTCCATCCGATGTGACAGGCACCATGATCCTTAGCGATACTTGGGAATACTTTTTTCCATTTTTGGGGTACTATAGTTCCTAAGAAACAGCTGAATCTAATATTTTTTGCCGGGGTTCCAAGTTCAGCATAGGATCATCCAGTGGGAGTTTGTGATGACCTGCATGCTGGTGTACAGCTCGCTTATGTGCGGCCTGGACACGCCGGCATCGTGTGGAAGCTTCACCCCAGTGGCTTTGGTAGCCCAGTGGTACCCTTCTCCCTTTTTTTGGTTTAGGTTTAGGGTTTAGGGTTTAGGGTTTAGGGTTTAGGGTTTAGGGTTAGGGTTTAGGGTTTAGGGTTTAGGGTCTAGGCTTTAGGGTTTAGGGTTTAGGGATTCGAATATGGTTACTGGGCTACTAAGGTGGTGGCGGGCTTGGCCATGGTCGCCTGCTCCGGCTCAGGCGGGCAGTACACAGGTGCCTCACTCAATCCTGCCCGAGTCGTGGGGCCACTGGTGGCTAGGTAGGCCCTTGGGATATTTTATATATCCCCTTATTGGGTTGAAGAGGATCCTATTTAGGAAATATTTTTCAGAGGGTTTAAAAGGGCCTACCGAGGTGGTGTTGGGATGCGGAGCACAAACGGTACCCCTCTACCTGCTTGGACAGTTTGCGGGTGCGATCCTTGCAGTGGCCCTCGTGGCGGCCACTGCGCGCACGGGACCCCTGAATCCTCAGGTGTCGAAGCCTGCGCTTGGGTTGAGCGACAGGGAAGCTTGGAGGCTTTGGCTCACAGGATCTCCCCCGAGCCGCCTGAGGGGGATGAACACAGAGACGGTTGAGACCATTCATGACTACCACCTGCAACTGCTACACTTCCATGAGGGCAAGCCGACGGAGGCGTTCCAGCGCAGCTCAACTTCGGACCTGCAGCGGCTCTTTGGGGTGAATGCCCATGCGTGCCAGCGAACATCTGCTTCCGCTTCGCAGATAGCCGAGCCAGGATCCCTTACGGAGGCTTCTCGGGAGGTGGCGCTGATGCTGCAGCACCCGGAGATAACGCTCAGAGAGACGATGCCGGACACTTCGCCCATGGACATCTTCAGGTCCTGCACAGACGAAGAAGTGGTGTAAAGGATATTCCGGCGATGGAGGCATGTATAGCGGTAGAGTCCCAAACCCAGCCGATCACTTCACAACGTATCAAGACCCACAAGAGGTCTGGTCCACGTCCAGTGGCAGGCCGAAGCCCGGTTGAGTGACCGATGTAACACTCGGCACATTTTGACCGAGACTCGGCCGGCTTTTTCACCAGCTGATCTCAAAACATGAGGGGAGCGGCAGTCCCCCTGCTCCTACAGTGAAAAAGAGGTGGGACGGCTCCTACAGACGCAGACAACACCTAGGATGCCCACCAGTAGTACCCTTATTCCCTTTTTGGGGGGGTTTAGGTTCCCTTATAAACCCCTTTAAGCAAAAAAGGGCGCCCTTTTTAAGCCTAGGTTACTGGCCAGCCTAGACACGCCTAGACACCCCCCACAGAAGGGCCCCAGGCCCTGCAACGATGAGTCGAGAGACCCAGACATCATCTCACGCGGTCAACAGCAGCGTCTAGCGGACTCGCGAGCTACTGTTTTCTCAAGAACCCCAAAAAACAAAGATATTCTTGACGATAAGGAGAATAAGGGGATTATTTTGCTTTCAAGGGGGTTCTTAAGCAAATAGTAGCGAGGTCAAGGAAACATGCATCCGGTCTGCTCAGCTGTGCCTGCCAGCTTGTTGGACCATTGTGCCGAGATTGGAGCAGAAGAGCTACCAGCGAATGCAGAAGGTTTCCACACGCCGGGGGCTTGGCAGAGCAGCCCAAGGGCAAATCGTTTGGCTGGTTCTTAGCGGGGAATGAGGGAATGAGTTACCCTACATAATCCTTGAAAGGGTATAAACAGGGCCCTACTCGTAATTCCCTCATTCCCTATTATGAGAACCAGCGGGTCCTATCTCAGCTTGCACCCAGCCTTGTACACGGCGACACCGACATTTCGGAATCCGTGAGGAAGTCCTGCGAGACTTTCCATACACCCAGAGACTCCAAAACCCCTTAATTAAGCAATATACCTTAAATTATAGTAGGAACCCTAATATGATTTAAGCTATATTCCTTAATTAAGAGGTTTTGGAGTCTCTGGGTAGGGTTTATATTACTGTGAGTGTATATAAGGTTCCTCTTTAATACTGGTGAGTGTATACCTTGGGTGTCCTTTTTGGGGGTACAAGAAATATAGACCCTACTTCATATCACTCGGTTGAGGCGCCATGCTCCTCTGTTGCGGCGTCTACCTCATGATGGGTGCGGGGAGCTCGGGGATTTTGGGGAAAAAGACCTTCTCCATGAAACCCAGATTCCAAACTCAAGCTTCCTGTTTAAGGGCTAGTAGGGCCCGGGGTCTCATGCTGCTTGGTCTGCGGATGTACGGAACCGATGCTGCAGGACGAGTTTGATGTTATGGGCACAGGCTTTACCCTAAACCCTAAACCCTTCGCGCCCGGGGAGATGGGGGGGGGGGGGGGAAGCTTCTCTCAATTATGTGGCGCCCTTTGGGTGCAGTAAATTTACGGGCTGATGACAGGACCCCAGAAAGCACACAAAGGAACCATGATTAGCAGTATATTTAGTACATGACTTACTTCAAGGTATTTCGGGGCTTAGACGTATAGAGTGTATTGCATCTAAAGAATCTAGACCCCAGATCTACCCTTGGGACAGGCAGCACTCTTATAGACGATGTTTGAGACGATGCCTGATACTTGGATGCCCCTCAAGTGCAGTACCTTGTTTTGCATTGGTCTACTCCACTTCCTCAACCCTCAACCCTAAACCCCTCAGCCCCATGTACCGGTTTGCAGCACTGTCCATGACCTTGGCTTGGCGAGGTCACGGGCTTCCTGGCATTCGGTGAGGATACGCTGGGCAACATTCTGGGAAATCTACAGCCGGGGGCCCAGGAGGCCCAAAACCCTAAAGTCCCTAAACCCTAAACTCCCCAAACCCTAAACACTAAACACTAAACCCTAAGCCCTAAGCCCTAAACCCTAAACCCTAAACCCTACACCCTAAACCCTAAACCCTAAACCGAAAACTCTAAACCTGAACCCTTAACCCTAAGCCCGCATAAGGTACTGTCAAGCACGTACCAGTGTTCATGGCAACTCTCCGGAGGTCCACCTTAAGGTTCAGGACCGCTGTGCTCCTGTAGAGCCCCGGCAAGAACAAGCAGGAGCCCATAATAAACATGCCTTACTTCTGGTTCAATTTATTTTCGATTCACGACAGAACCATTCTTAAAAGGGTAAAAAACTAAAAGCAGTCGCGACAATGCCTTGTGAGTTTAGTGCTTGCTCGCGCTCTCCCCATCTCTTTCCCCCAAGAGGGAATGTAGCAACACAAATGCTTTTAAAGCAGTGCACATGCAAACGTAGTCCGCGCACCCTGAAAGTGAATGTTCTTTGTTTCGCATGGTTTTCATGCGTCCTTGTTCTCCTTATAAAGCCATCTCACCAGGATATCGCCTACGACGTATCGCTCAAATGTCAGGATTCTTTGCTACCTTTTGGATTCTCTCCGTGCTCGCGTCCAAAATAGGGGTACCTTCTTGGGGGTTCGTATCAAACTGATTCTACTTGTTTGGTGGTATGTCAGGGGTATCGGGCCCCTATTCTGGGAAAGACCCCTCTGCCTATACAGTAGCTTCGGCCCCATTCCAGGACCAGAGGTAGGCTGATCGTTCAACCCTCCCACTTGCACAATTCGAGTAGCAAGGCACCTGCACCCTTGGATGGACGACACTCTGGTACATCGTAGGCTGAACACGGCAGCTCAGGATAGAACTAGATGGCGGGAGCTGCTTGCGCGGCCTCATGATGTAACATAGCTTAAAACTCCCAAGGCTGCCAAGGTTGAGGGGCAGCAGATTGCCTTGCACTAGGAAAGAACGCGGTACCCTTATGAGTCCTTACAAGGAGGACTCGGGGGGGGGGGGGGGGGGGTTCTTAAGCAAATGGTGGTGACCCCTGAGCTCTAAAAACAGACACGTTCCTACTAAGGCCCATGCTCTGCGCAGATGACTGGATGGTCCGATCCGGGATAGCCAGCATGGCCTTTGCTGCGCCTCGGATTGCCCGTAAGACCATAGAGTTGATCCTTTGCTCTTTTGTGGTTTGTGGTTTAGGGTCTAGGGTTTAGGGTTCTTCGATATGACATGTATGTTTAAGTGTGTTGCGTTTACTCTATTCCATTTTGTTGTTTTGTGCTGTAATTTCGCCGCTTATATACACTGTCAAACCCAAGGGCCCATGCTTCATTACCCTTTCAAGAAGGTAAGGGACCATGTCAAGGGCTCGTGTGACTACCCTTAGATGACGGGTCTACGAAAATGGAGGACATTGAGTTTTGATCCCCGAATAGTCGGATCCCCTTAGAATACGGACCCCAACAAGGTACCCCTAGTTTCGGAAACCCCCTAAACCCTAAACCCTAAACCCAAAACCCTAAACCCTAAACCCGAAACCCTAAAGGAAAACCAGCCAGGTGACCATGGCATACCCGCTCAACATTTTCCCGATTCGCTTCTCGGCCAGCTCCTGAAGCCGAGAGTTAGCACACGACGGGTTAGGGTGCAGGAGGTTTAGGGTTTAGGTTCAGGGTTTAGGGTTTAGGGTTTAGGGTCAGGGGGTGTGCAGATCATTGCATTTGGCAGATGTTTCACAGGGGTCGAGACTCACTGTTAGTATCCCTTTATGACAAGTATACAATAACAGTCATAAATTTAGTAGAATTTTCGTACTATAGAATTGTTCTATTAAACCCCCCCACCCCTCCCCACCCCGCAGAACCCTATTCTAGTTAAGGCTCCTCTCCTGAGGTGGAAACTGCGCTGTTCTACCACAAGCCGCACCTCAACTGTTCCGCCGTGCGGACAGGCAGAGCTCAGCTACGGAACAAAAAACCTCATGGAACCCTGAGCCCCAAAAGGTAAACGAATTCTCTGAAGAAGGATCCATTTAAGATTTGGAGCGGTTTTGAGATGTGTCGCTCTTGGTTAGCAGATTCGAGCGCAACACGACCCCTTACATGAGAATTGCATCTTTTAGTTAAGGGGGTTGCCCCCCCCCCCCCCCCCCCCCCCCCCCCCCCGCCCCCCCCCCCCCCGCCCCCCCCCCCCCCGCCCCCCCCCCCCCGCCCCCCCCCCCCCCCGCCCCCCCATCTCCCCATCCCCCCCCCCCCCCCCCCCCCCCCCCCCCCCCCAATTTTATGCGCCTTCGGCCTTTTTCGCGGGGGGAAGACGGGAATGGCCAAAAGCTATGTGCGTGTGTGTGTGTGTGTGTATATATATGTGCATATGTATGTGTAATAAAATAAATGTACATTTATGATGATGCATGTATGTGTATGAGTGTATGCGCATGTGTATTATCGGGTATGTAGCAAGCAGCGAAAATGCCGACCCAACATTATCAGCCCAAGACGCTCCTCACACTGCTCGGCCATTTGGAGGTTCATGGTACTTACTCACCCATGAAAACTGTACTTAGAACCCACTTCTAAAGCCCCTTAAGCACTTATTAACCAATTAAAACTGTACTTATAGCCCACTTCTAAAGCCCCTTAAGTGCCCTAGTATGGTTATAAGTACAGTCATAAGTACAGTTACCCTAAACCTAAAACCTAAACCCTAAACCCTAAACCCTAAACCATAAGTGGTTCATTACTACCATGAACCTCCACGCAGGCATTGCGGTGGGGGCCGTCGCTGCGAGCCTCGTCGTCGCAATCGCCGGGTGCCTGTTGGAGGGCCACCCAGAGACTCCAAAACCCCTTAATTAAGGCATATACCTTAAATCATATTAGGGTTTAGGGTTTTGGGTTTTGGGTTTTGGGTTTTGGGTTTAGGGTTTAAGGTTCCTACTATAATTTAAGGTATATTCCTTAGCTAAGGAGTCTTGGAGTCTCTGGGCAGGGCTTGCAGGAGCTGAGGTGGCTTGTGGTCTTCAAGCTTAGTAACCTCTAGCCCTAAACCCTAAACCCTAAACCCTAAACCCTAAACCCTAAACCCTAAACCCTAAACCCTAAACCCCGG